TTTTACGTAACCAAACACTTGCACAGCAACACCCGCATATCCGTTATTCTATACGTACGACCATAACATTGCGTACTACTCCCGTGAACTGAACATCTCTGTCGCCCGATTGCTAACCGACTGACAGAATTTTTCCCAAAGGGCTTCCTCTACCCCCAAGTAGTTTCCCATCGTTACATTGTGAGTTCACTCCCACCACGACAAGATTTAGGTAAAACGAAACCAACGGTTGTAGGATAACACGTGCTTTGCAGAAGTGCAAGGAAAGAACCGTCGCGCAGTTTCACCAAAGCGCGTAGCCCGTTAATTTATTGCCAAGGTACCTACTCCTTCGAGATAGGAAACAGACATCACGTGCATCGGCTTGAGAATGTCCGAAATAAAGAGGACCACCAACGTGCCCGTTGCTTCGAGTTGGAAAGCACAATGTACATTGTTTTCTTCGAGGAGCAGGGAAAAAATTTTACCGAGACGTGTAAGTTGACGCTGCTTGGGCCTAGCCGATCACCCTTGTAGAGGCCGGAACGGAATTTTCGGTTATTTATGGCTCAAAATCTTCGGCCTCGTAGCAACCGTGAACTCACAACAGAATTGACAATCTACAATTTTATTACAACTCTGTGAAATTGTAGTTCTCATGAAAACATTTCATACGTATTTTTGTTTTAGTATTCCGTCAAATATCTCGGAAATTATTAGAAATATAAAAATCATATAATTTGCAATATTGTGTTTCTTTTGATATTGAATGTAGAATAATCCCTTTCTTTAAACAATCTTTCGCCGACTCCTGACAGTGCGCGGTGCAGGTAAATCCAAAAAAGTACTATTCTAAATACTAAAGTATTCGTTAAACTCTTTTCCATAAAATAAGCCTATCGGTAGGGTGATGCGGTTTATATTAACGCAGTAGTAACCTATTGAAGAGGGCGGTGCGCCCTGGTTCAGGTAAAAGAACCGGGCGCTCCACTATTACAGTCGACTGACGGTATTCGTAACGGTCCAGACTATTTCAATGAGATTAAAAGCTATATCAGTGTCAATGATTTACGGAAAAGAGTTCAACGAATACGGTAGTATTTTTTTGGATTTACCTGCACCGCGCACTGTCAGGAGGCGGCGAAAGATTGTTTAAAGAAAGGAATTATTCTGGAATTCAATGATATAGCTACATTCAATATCAAATCAAACACAATATTGCAAATTTTCCGGTTTTTATATTTCTAATAATTTCCGAGATATTTGACGGAATACTAAAAAAAAATACGTATGAAATGTTTTCATGAGAACTACAATTTCACAGAGTTGTAATAAAATTGTCGATTGTCAATTCTGTTGTGAGTTCACGATTACTACGAGGCCGAAGATTTTGAGCCATAAATAACCGAAAATTCCGCTCCGGCCTCTACAAGGGTGGTCGGTCAGGTCCAAGCAGCGTCAACTTACACGTGTCGCTAAATTTTTTTCCCTGCTCCTCGAGATAGACAATGTACATTGTACTTTCCAACTCGAAGCAAGGAATACGTTGGTGGTCCTCTTCATTTCGGACATTTTCAAGCCGATGCACGTGATGTCTGTTTTCTATCTCGAAGCAGTACGTACCCTGGCAATAAATTAACGGGTTACGGCGCCTTGGAGAAACTGCGCGACGGTTCTTTCCTCGCACTTCTGCAAAGCACGTGTTATCCTAGAACAGTTGGTTTCGTTTTACCCAAATCTTGTCGTGGTGGGAGTGAACTCACAATGTAACAATGGGAAACTACTTGGGGGTAGAGGAAGCCCTTTCGGAAAAATTCTGTCACTCGTTTAGCAATCGGGCGACAGAGATGTTCAGTTCACGGGAGTATTACGCAATGTTATGGTGCTACGTACACAATGACGGATATACGGGTGTTGCTGTGCAAGTGTTTGGTTACGTAAAACATCTGAAAAATTGAAAACAATCGGCCCTTTCCGGGGCCACGAATTTTTCTAACGTAGGAACAACACGTTGGATTAAAAATACATTAAGTTATTGTGTCGGGTGATCAGTGTTAGTGCAGTGCAGTGAAGTGAATACATATTCGATGGATTAACCCGGCGGCACTGGACGTTGCAACTCTTAACGTTGGCTGGTGTCGCATACCTGCGATCACCTGTGGCATGGACTCTACCCTGCCATAAATCATTTCGTCCGTCGATGCCCAAGCTCGGTACACTGACCTACTAACGCAGGTTTCTACGCTGCAGGTGAATTTCCGTAAGGGTGAGTTCTATTCAGTTTATTGGTCATTATTGTTTTATTAATTTCACCGAACTACAATCACTTCTCGTTTATTCTCTGTTACATTACCTTTTCGTTCACACGTTATTTGAAAAGGAAATTTACAAATTCGTAAAAAGGAATTTACAAAGTTGTAAATGTGCATTCGCCTTTTTACGTTACACATAATTTGCCTACATTTACGTTTCATTCATTAATCTCTTTAAATAACAAAAGACAGATGATAAAAAATATGATTTTATTTGTTACGTCTTGTTTATTTGTTATTATTATACGCGGTTTCCTGCGATGCATGGTGACCTACTTGTTCGGAGTTTCGTAGTACAAGCGTAGCGCGTAGCCACCGCTAGCGCGGGAACTCGGCTGGCAAACTCGCGCTCTGATTGGTCGCGGTTTTTCGTTAATATCTCGGTAACGCAGCCTCAGTTTACATTGTCGCTAAGGAAAAAGTTGTTCCAATTCACCCCCCGAGTGCCCGATTTCCGGGTCGGAGGACATTTTTGGGACACCCTGTATATCTACAAAAAGAGCTAGATTTGGAATGAAGTTGTTTATTTTGAGTGAAAGCCAATCTGGATACGTACAAAATAGAATGTTATACACAGGCAAGGACACAAATTATGGTTCAAACTACCCACAAGAAAAACAATCAACAAGAATTGTTTTGGAGTTAACACATGACTTACTGAATAAAGGGTATAGGATTTACTTAGATAATTTCTACACGTCAATTCATTTGGCTAAACTCTTGTGTCAAAACAATACAGACATTGTTGGAACAATGAGGATAAACAGAGTCGGAATCCCCAGTGAAATAAAAACAAAAAAATTACAGAAAAATGAACATAAAGTAAGATTCAAAGACAAACTTATGGTTTTAAAGTGGAAGGATAAAAAAGACGTATTGATGCTCAGTTCTATTCATAATGACGAAAAGACAATGATTGAAAAGAGAGGAAGGAGGCAAGAAAAACCGAATGTTGTCCTGGATTATAACAAGAATATGGGCGGCGTAGATTTGGGAGATGGAGTTATGGTGGCCTACACGGCTGCCCGTAATAGGCTAAAAAAATATTATGAAACAATTTTTCTACGATTAATTGATATGTGCTGCTTCAATGCATATATTATATACAAAAAAGATAAAGGTCATTTGGATCGATTACACTGTTTGATAGAGTGTGTAGAGAAATTGGTAGATAACAACATAGTGAAAACCCACCCAAAGACATCAACAAGCAGCTCTACACCTAAACCATCACGCTTAGTTAAAAGGCATTTTCCAGAACAAATGAAAAGCGATATAGGAAAAACAAAATCCAGGAAATGCCGAGTTTGCTACAAAAAAGGTGTTAGGAAAGAATCTACATACTGGTGTCCGGATTGTAAGGTAGCACTATGTATCAACAATTGTTTTAAAATATCTCACAAGGAAGTTGAGTTTTGAATTTTTACATCTATATTTTAATTTTTTAAACTCAATATTTCTATTTTATTTGTGTGGTTTTGTTTATTGTTCTGTAATTGTTAACTTTTTTATTGTGTATCTAAATAAAAAATATATGTTTTTTGTAATCTTTATAATTGTTTGTAAAATTTGTAATTTTTTAATTCGATGTTTCCATTTTTTTGTTGGTATTATTTTCTATTTGTTTGTAATTTTGTATTTTCCTTTGTGCTTTATATATAAATAAACGAAAAAATATATATTTCATAGTCTTTTCATTTATTTTAAGCATAAATAAAAAAAAATAATAATATGAAATTACGTCCTCCGGGCGTGACGTACTGACACGTCCTAGTGAAAGAGTACGCGCCCGTTATATGTTGCGTAATTAAAAGGAGAATTCCCCGGTTAACAGGTTAAAAAGAGACTTACAAGACATATTTGATAAGGTACAGGACTACTTTGAAATTTGGAAATTGAAAATAAACACCAATAAATGCGAAACCATCCTGTTTAGGCCCTACATTTCAAAAATATCAGACGCAAATGCAGACGTCAGAGTAAACTCGAAAAAATTCTCACTTCACGCAGCCAATAGCATTAACGAAATAATTCAAACAATCAAGCCTTTCCATCCAACAAAAGACTATTCTTCTCCAAAGATCTACACAAAACAGTAAAAATCCTATGCTACAAGACCTTAATTAGACCAATCTTAACCTACGGCTGCCAAATCTGGTTCAACATCAGTGCTAGCATTATGGAAAAACTGCGCATCTTCGAAATAAAATGCATCAGCGCTTGCCTAGGAAAGTATAGATCCCCAGAATCAAATTATACAAAATTAATTCACAATCACAAACTTTACGAAGAAGCTAAACTCATTTGTATAGACCTTTTCATTATAAAATTAATCAGAGATCACTGGTCGAATACCCGCAAAATCACCTCAAACTCAATGATCGATCATACAGTTTACCCGAATCCACTATATTTCGAACACACCCGTCAAACTGGCTACACACCACCAGAATCTTTCGTTTATTTAGACAGCGAGGGTCTAATTCAAAATTTCAATAACTTACCACTCATATATCACTACAATAGGGAAACGTTCAACAAAAAAAGATTGTACAATAAAGATACAAAAGCCGACGACGGTAGTCTTAAGATTTATGTATAAATTATCTACAATAGATTTAAGCGTTAAAAATACACAAAACCGCAATAAATATTGGTGGCTGTGATAAGTAAAATTGTTATTTTTTATATTGTTATATGTATATGCGTATAATTTAGTTTTTTCTTTTTTTCTCACCTCTTCTTTTCTCTTAGTTAATTGTATAGTATAGTTTTTTTCTGCCGTTTTCTATACTAAGTTTTTAAGCCATAGATTAAGATTCAAACACTTTTACCTCATTATCTTTAACCGCAGTAAGTGCAATAAAATACGAAGGAACAGACTACGCGTACTCGATATTTGAGTCTATAGCACGGCCTGTTAACTCCCATTAGAATAGTATGGTCAGTCATAAGCTACCGGCCCTTATCACCAATGGTGCTAAAGTCGCATTTTTCGACACATGTACTTCTATGTAGTGCTATGTAGTCGGCGGATAAAACACGTTTTGGCGCTGGAGGGAGTTTAAACCGATGGCCATTTAAATTTTGTTTTCTGTTGCAGGTGGTTGCAGGAGGACTAAAAATTTGCAGAAATGGTGCGTTGTTGTGTTCCTGATTGCAGAAGCGCGAAGAGCAGAGTTAAAACCTATGTTTTATCGAAGGAGAAAGAGGTAAGATTATACTTAAAACCAGTTTTTGTAATTTTATTCATATTACAAATTTTCTCCCAATAATAACGAAGGGTCGTTCTACGTGAAGTCTAACACTTTTTGTGTAATATTTCGGATTTTGTTGAAACTTGGATATATTGTAGCCTTTAATGATATACGAACATATCGAAGGATTTTAAAAAATTTGTTAAATTGTAAAAATTAATTATGTTTCAGAGACGAATAAAATGGTGTTTGGCCATATGTAGGCTGGATTTAATCGACGTCCATCCATCTAGACGACATGACTACCGTGTGTGTGAATTACATTTCACACCGGAGTCACTGTACGCTAATCATCACAATAAAACAGACCTGAAGTATGACAGTGTCCCCACATTGTCTTTGCCAGGACTGCAAGGAAAATGGATGGACACAGGTATGTATTTTTTCCACAATAAAGGACGGCTTCATTTTAAAGGCTAAGAATAAGTATTATGTTGTATTTTTATATAACTTACATGCAAATGTATTTTTCCTTTCAATATCACTTATTTTTTAGATGAAATGGTGCAACCAGAAGATGGCACATCTCTGACTGCAGAAAGCCAGTTTGAGGAACTGGGTAAGTTTGTTTATATTATAGAATAAATCAATTTTTATGAAATTTATGTATGCACATACTTAGACTCTTTTTCACTTATTTTTCAGATATAAAGCAGTCATTTGATGAAGATGCTTGCCGCTTACAGGCTTCGGGTACCCCTGTTAGCTGCTTTAACACCTCAGGTATGAATTATATATATAATTCATATTACATATTTCACACATTTCAATTATGTTCTTACAATTTAGAACAATATACAGCCCGAAAAAGTGTTTCGGAAGTATGTCAATAAAATTCCGCGGAGAATTCCATCGGGTGGGCGCGAATCAGATGTTGGGTCTCAGGTAGATGTGACGTAAGTACATTGCATTTCGTGTATTGCACGTAATGGAATGGTCGTTCTGTGTTGCCCCGTGAAGCATGAACACATTACCTCGATCAGAGCATGTATGACCGAGCTGTGTTGAGAGGGTGGACAGGTCTTATGATCGTTCTTCAATGTACAGCGGGTGTGGTGGTTGGTGTAATCTTTGAAAAAATGTGAATATTCGGAGGATAACTGTTCTTGACGCGGTCAAGTCATTAGCTTGACTCACTGAATAATATGGGCATGAACTTTTAATGAATAAAATCTAATCTTTGTTTATTTTCTTTGATGTTTCTATTTTCTTTCATTTTTCTAATTTTTTCAATTTTTCAATTTTTTTTTATTGTTCTATTTCGTTTATATTAACAATACTAATAATTTATTCGTCTAATTTATTAATCTATTTCGTTTAAAACTAAGGTCAGGTAGTAACATATACTTTTCTGTTTTAGGTCGCAAAAGGAATCTTAATTTATTAAGATCCCTTGGTGTTCGCAGTTCAGCTGCATTGACACCCAAAGCTTTGAAATTGTATAAAGTTGCCACGAATTTAAATAGAGTTAGGAAACGTTTACAGTTTAAAAATGAAAGTATTAGACGTAGAATCTCGAAGGCTTCAAAATTTGCGGAATCCCAAATATTCTTAGAATCAAAATTAAATAAAACGTGTGCAACATTCTTGATTAGTCAATTGCGTTTGCAATCTAAAAAATCCAAAGGACGTAGATTCACCCTCCAGGATAAAATTTTCGCGTTGTCGTTAATAAAGCAAAGTCCTAAAGGATATAGACTTTTGCAGCAAGTTTTTGCTTTACCTTCTCGCGTTACCTTATTGAAAACACTGCAGCACATTCCTTTTGAATGTGGCTTGAATAAGCGCATACTCGACACCCTGAAATGCGCTGTGTTAAAAATGAGGAACCCCCTCGATCGAATGTGCACTCTGTTGTTTGTCCATCTTTGTCATACAATTCGAGAACAGATTCGATCGACGGGTTTGTAGACTGCGGAGAAGGCAAAGTACTACAATTTGCTGATCATGCTATGGTTTTTATGATCCGCGGAATTAAAAAGAAATTTAAACAACCCATAGCATATTTTTTTACATCTGGAGCTATGAAGTCGGCTCATATCGCGCGGAACATTAGACTGATTGTCGACAGTCTACGGGAAATTGGGCTCAATGTGGTTGCAACTGTGTGCGACCAACATGCAGCGAATGTATCGGCAACCAGTGCGTTGATTCAACAAACTGACGCCGAATACATACGAAAAGGTGCCCGGAAGAAGCACGTAGGCTTCGAGGTGGGTGGAAGAGTGGTTATTCCACTCTTTGACCCACCACACCTGTTGAAAGGAATTAGAAATAATCTCCTAGTAAACAAGGTCAGGTTTACCTGGAAGCGGCAAAACCAAGTGGGATCTTGGACTGATATTGTGCAGCTATATCACATTGACATCGGTGATACCGCAACACGTATGTGTTATAAACTGACCGATTCGCATATTTATGCTAATAAAATGCGAAAAATGAAGGTCAGTATAGCTGCACAAGTCCTATCCCACCAGGTTTCCTCAGCTCTCCGTTGGATTGCACGTCATGGTATGTATTTCTTTTTATATATTCTTCAATGGAACTTTGTATCACGACTTGGTAATTTTGTTACCTACAGCATAATTTATAGAATTTTTTATTTTTCTGCCAGGCCATGACACCAGTGTTTTACCTTCCGCTGAGGACACTGCCGACTTTTTGATCTTCTTTGATCAACTGTTCGACAGTCTTAACAGCTCGTCAACCGTTTCCATCGTAGGAAAGGAGTTGCGGGCTGCGGTCACCGGAAGGTGCAAACACGAAGAATTCTGGACCGACGCGTTGAAGATCCTGGATTCAATCCAGTTCATCACCCGAAGAGAATTGACGACCCCACCTTCGGTGAAGAATTGGATACGGACGATCCGCGGCATACAGTATTTGTGTCTCTACTTAATATATTGTGTCTCTACTTAAGAAACTTTAATCAAGATCCGCTTGAAAACTTTTTCGGTTGCATTCGAAGTCATGGTGTACGAAATGTGAACCCCACGTGTACGTCGTTTGTAAACTCGTTTAAAACTTTGATTATTAATAACTTTTTTTCACGCCATTCGGCGAACGCGAATTGTGAGAGTGACCATGGGGAAGCACTGGACACCATGAAATTCTTTCTAACGGGTGCAGCCGAAAACGATGCGTTCCAATTATTTCAAACGG